GCTGGACTTGGCATTCCTGTGTTAATTTACTTCTGGATGCTCAATTGTATTCCAGTGGTCTATATGTTTATGCTTTGGGTAGTACCACACAGTTTCTATTTGTATAGCTTTCTTATAAGTTTGGAAATCTGGAAATGTGAGTCTTACAACTTTTTCTCCCCCAAGACTTTTTGGCTATTTGTGGCCCCTGAAATTCCATATGAATTTGAGGATTTAATTTTCCATTTCTGCAAAAGGGAATCTTGGAATTTTGATAGGGATTATGTTGAATCTGTATAGCATTCTGGTATTGACATTTTAATATTTTATTCTTCTCCATGAACATAGTATGCCTTTTCATATATTTAGATCTTAATTTCTTGTAATTTTTGGTATACACCTTCTTGGTTAAATTTATTCCCAGGAATTTTCTTCTTTTAGATTTTATTATAAATAGAATTGCTTTATTAATTTTCTTTTTAAATTATTCATCGTTAGTGTATAGAAGCACAATAGATTTTTGTGTGTTGATTTTTACCCTGCAACTACTGAATTTATGATCTCTAACAGTGCTTTTTTTTTCTTTTTTGCAGATTCCTCTTGGATTATCTAAATTTAGGATTATTTCATCTGCAAAAAGAGATAGGTTTGCATTTTCATTTCCAATTTTGATGTTTTTTATTTCCTTTTCTAGTCTAATTGCTCTGGCTGGAACTAGTACAATGTCAAGTAGAAGTGATAAATGCAGACATCTGTCATTTGTGTCACATTCCCAATCTTGGGAAAAAGATTTAAGACTTTTATCATTGACTATGATGTTAGCTGTGGGTTTTTCATAAATGCCCTTTATCATGTTGAGGAACTTAAGGAATGTGAGCTTAAAATGCTATTCATAGAAAATAATCTGAGACCTAGTATGATGTTATTTTTCTCCAGAAAGGATTTTTATTGCTTTTGTCAATTCCTAACAGTTTAAGTAATGCAGGATTACCTTGACCCAAATTTGGGGTTGAGATTTCTGGGAGCTTGTGACAAGAGGTAAAGTTGGTTTATTCCCTTACTCCTGTGGTGCGGCTGTTAGGAGTTTCAACACAAGGCAGGGGACCGGTCATCACCCTTGGAGACCCCTGGATTAAAACTCATCTTTTTAACTCTGTGCTGTGTACACCTCTTGTGGGTCCCTTCTCCTCTTGATCTTAACCTGATGTTACCTCATTATCTCTATAATTCCTTGACACTTTAAAGAAGACAGACAAAAAATACTTCTTCTGGCTTTAAAGTTGCCTTTAGTAGGAGAAGTAACTTGTTTGCCCTTCCTGGGAGTGGAGTTTTCCCCCTATTACTCTTCCAGAGTACAGACTGTGAGATGCAGGTACACCTCCCCTCTTGCTTAGAAAGGATACAAGGGACAAGTTTATTTCTCATCCATCTGTGGGGAAGTACATGCAGAAAAGAGTTAAGAATCTGAATCAAGTGTGTGGTGAGTGAGGCATTTGTAAAGTTACTCATCTTCCCATCCTGCAAACAGTCACGGAATCTGCTTTTCATCAAGAAGTGCCGCCACCTGTCTTGCTTTGATTAAGAACAATGGTTTTAGTCCATCAGTCCCATCAGATTCCGGGAGAAGAAAAAGTTGCAATAAGTTCATCTAAAGGATCTCCAAAAATTTGCTAAACACGAAGGCAACACTTTTAAAGCAGCAAACACTGAGGATCAAAGGAGGTTAAAAAATTATTGGGATCAGAGCCAGGAGGATGTGCTCAGGCTAGAAACCCTCCTTTTTCTCCCCTCCCCTCTTCTACCCTCCCCTCCCCAATCCTCTTCTTTCCTTCCAGGAATTTTCTCCCTCCCTCCCTTACGTTCCTTCTTTCCTTTATGGTTCACTTCCATGAAATCAACTCACTTTCATTTTTTAAATTTTATATGTCTAAATTCCAGCTGTTCTTCCAGGTAACCTTAGCTGCTGCAGTTAATACAACACAACTTGAAAATTCTGTAACACATGGTGTTAAATAAAATGTATAGCTGGCTATTGATTTGGATTGAGCTCCTACACTAGGCTCCAACAGACCAAACCAAAACGCAGTCACTCAAGCTTCAGTTCCAAGCTGAAATGAAGTTGTTAATCTGACCCGAGAAATCGGGAAAGAGGGAGATAATAGTCAAATTCCCAAACAATCCAGTTTTAGCAAAGCATGATAAGGATGTTCCTTCTGCTTTAACCTTTACAAGGAAAGTAACTTCGAAATTATCAACCTTTTTGTATACTTTATTTTTTGCTTTCTTTGGCTTTTTCTGTCTCTTCATATTGGGCCCGTGTTGCAGAGTGCAATTCTCTGAATTTCTTCTGATTCTGAGGGCTACCTAATTCACCACTCCTTCGCTCTAATAAAGTCTTACATTTATTTTGTCTCAAGTGTTTCTTTTACCAAGGAAGTGAATTTTAGAACAGCAAAGTAAGTACTTTCTGGATCAGTCTTTCCCTCTGCTTCCAAACCAAAATTTTCAGTAAAGGTAGGTCTTTCTAACCCACCTTCACCAAAATCTCCTGCTGCTTGGAGTTTTCTTTCTATACCATTTATAACTTTAAAAAACGAGTCCACATTTATTTTGGAAGTACATTTAATTTACAAATGGGAATTCACTGGAAGGTGACAGCTGACAATATCTCCCAAACATCTCTCAAATCCACCCAATTCTGGATGTGCACACCACCCCCACCTTAATCCAAAACACTGCCACCTCTTGTCAAGCTGACAGCAATAGCCTCTGGGTTCCTTGGACACCCTCAATCCTTTTTCTTTTTCTTTTTTTTTCTTTTCTATATTGTGATTAGAAAGATCTTTTCCAATGCCATCATCTTTTGGGGGGATGTGTGGGGGGGGTGGTAGTGGGGAGAGAGGCATGGTGCAGCTTCTCCATACCACTGAACTTGTTTGCATTTGGCCTCAGAGCAATTACCTGTGTGCTGCCTGTCTCCCCAGGAGACTGAAAGTTCCCTGGATATGGGATGCTTCTCTGCTTTTGCTTGTCAGACACATGGGTGTTGACTCTATTTTTGAATAGTATACAAAGTAGATTAACTTTGTAATTTGCTTATGTTATACTAATTATTTCTCTCCTGGTCCCTTAAAGGCAGGGATTTGGTCTACTCTGTTCACTGATGTACCCCCCTAAGTGCCTAAAAGAATGGCTCCTGCTTAGAAAGCCCCTGTATGAACTTTTGTTGGAAAAATGAATGAACTAGAGAGGTGAGGGCAAAGAGTCTAACTTCTTTCCAGTCCAGGATCACGCTTTGGCATTGTTTCAAGCTCTTACGAAGTGGAAGTGTTGCCCTGAGAATTTCTAGATAGAAAATGTCTCCAGGAAATTGGAATTTGTAACTAGAGTTCTCTAAACAATGCCCGCCAGAGGCTTAGTCATTTTATAAAGAATTGGGAGAGAAGGCAGTGTTTGGCCACAGGCCAATATTTTGAGGTCAGCTACTTTATCTGTGGAATTCTTCACCCCCTGTGCATCCCTTGGCCATCCTGTTAAATTGGAAAATAAATCCCATCCCTGGGTAAGGTGTTGGCTGATAAAGGCTTGAGCTATTGCCCCTTCAAGGGGAATTTGCATTTTAATAGAGGCTGGTCAAGCCCCAAAGGAATCAATATCTCTTAACAGTGAAATTTCAAGCACCAGCAATTGAGATATTTTGGTGCCAGACACTTCAGTGTTTCTGATCCAACAGGGGACTTCATAAGTACTGGTAGAAGGCTATGGAAAAAGGTTTCTGGAAATGACCAGCCATTTCCTTTTATTATTTTCAATTTACGTTTTTGTACCTGATCCATTCAGACATCCTAACAGGCACCAGTCTCTTAATATGTCAACCCAGTCCTTTTAAACCCAAGGAATCTTATTAAAGTTGTTTCATCAGTAGGGCCACAAAGGAATTAATATAACCGAAATTTCCAAGTTTGCTAGGAATTCCAAGGAAGCCAACACTTAGTTATTTAAAACTATGTTGGCAAGAGAGAGTAGAGATAGTTTAATAAGTTGTTAATGATGTTATTCATTTAAATTCGTTTTGTGAAAAAATTTTTTCAAAGTTAAAATGTTTGACTTGTATTAAAAGACCTGAAAACGAAAGATAGATGCAAAAACCCCAGTATGACCCGGGAATGTTTTAAACGCCCAGTCCTCCGATGCTAAGTTCTCAGCGAATGGCTGGGGAAATTCTGGGACTGCGGAAAAGCGGCATCTTGGTTCTTAGATTTCTGCTTTCCAGAAAGGTTCCTGTCCGCCACACCTGAGGACAGAGCAGGAAATTCACCTCCTCTTGGCTCCCCGCCGGGCGGGGTGGTCTCTCTACTCTCAGCGCTGCCACTGCCCGGCCCATCCTTGGCCGGCCGCGGGCTTTGCCGCTCGGTTGGCGGACCCGACTCCCACTACCCTGCCGCACCACTGGCCAAGGGCTCCGCAGCGGAGATTGTTGCCCTTGCCCTTGTCGCGCTGCGGTTCCCACTCTTTCCCTTCGGATCCGCTGCCAACCACCGGCGAGAGGCGTGAGCGCCGGGGACCAGTCAGGGGACCACACCTGCGCCCTCACCCAGCCTCCCCGTGTGGGTCCCGGCTCGCGCTCCAGCCCGGGCCCAGCGCGCGGCGGCGGGGCTCGCGCCCGGGGACAGCGGCCGCTCGCGCCCGGCACAGAGGCTCGCGCCCGCGCTCGGGCCGGGTAGCGCGCGGGGCGGGCGGGAGAGGGCGCAGCGCGGCGCGGCCGGCTGGCGGGCGGGCAGCTCGGCGGCTCTGCGGAGCAGCGGCAGCGGCATGGGCGCAGGCACCGGCAGCAGCCGCGGGCGCCAGGCTTCCCGCCCGGCCCAGTCTGCTCCCGGCGCGCGGCCGTCGCAGCCTCCGCAGCCAGCTAGGAGGTGGTCCCCTCATCCGGAGCAACTTGCCTCGGACCCTCTGTGAGGAAAGGCGGCGGCGTACACCTGGATCGGGCGGGAGCCTGGCGAGGGGTGCGGGCGCCCAGCGCTATGCCTCCGGCTGGCGGTCCCCGCGCTCCGCGCCCCACCGCGCTGCCCCGCAGCCTGTCCCGCCTGCGCGAGTGCCCGGGCCGCTCCCGCATCGTGCTGGCGCTCGGGGCCACGCAGATGGCGCTCGGATGCCTCATCGTGGCTGTCAGCTTCGCCGCGTTGGCGCTCACTACCTCCGCCCGCGTCCGTCACTCCTGTCCCTTCTGGGCTGGCTTCTCGGTGAGTGTCTGAGGCCCGGCAGGGACAGGGCTCCGGGAGAGAGCGCGTGCCCGGGACCGAGGCGCCGCCGGGACGCCACCGCGGGCTCCAAGTTGGGGTGCGAACGCCCAGGGTCGAGCTGCAGCGCAGGTTGCAGTTCAAAACTCCGGGCAGAATAACTCCGGGGACTGACTCGCGGCTCCCGGAACATCGCGTTCGCTTTTCCGTTGCGCTCATCCCCGGAGTTACTTTTCTTAGAGGAAACAGAAGCCAGGCGCCCACCCTTCGCCACGCAAGGGTGGGCAGCAATCCGGCATTTGGCGGCCGGCCCTTGGGTACTCCGCGCGCTGCCGCGTCCGAGCTGGGATCCGAACCCAGTGCGGTGCTGCGTGTCTGCGCGCGCCTCTCCTTCGCAGTGGCCCTAGCTAGGCGGGGAGGAAGCGTGGTGCGTACTGTCAGGTAGCGGGCCAGTCCCGGCCGCGGTGACCAACCTACCTCCTCTGGCCACTCGCCGACCAGTGTCAGGCACTCTGTTTTCCCGCCCCTAACGGCCTGCTGAACAGGGCAGCCGACCTGCAGCCAGCGTCTGGGGGGCGTGTTTTCTGAGCTTCAGACTGTCAGGACGACTGATTTCAGGTTTTTGACTCCCAAAGAAGCCAGTGACTAGTCAACCTCCATAGGAGAAAGACACCAGGAGATCGCTATTAAACAAATGATTGTCACTAAGAGTTAATTCTTGACATTTTTTTTAGCATTTGGTTGAAAGTTGCTTTTCCCCCTATATTAATACAGAATGGACATATGGGAATGGGAAAAATATATGCAGAGCAGATATTTATAAAGAGAGGCACTTGTTCTGAGAACTCTTGACATCTGTAACTACATTTGGTTTATGGTGCTGAAATACATCGTATAGACTTACACTGTAAACTCGGTATGTTTAAATCCCACCTACAGAAATCCAAACCAAGCCTCTGTAATTAAGGTTTGCTATTCTTGAGTTTTGAAATTAAAAAAAAAAAAAAAAACGCAAAACGTCCAGCTCGCTTTTATTTATTTAATTTGTAATGGCCTTTGTTCTCTAAGTTCCTTTCATGGCTTTTAAAACGAGATCCGAGCAAAAATGCCTTTGAAACACGGATCGATACAGGTGTGGTTGTTCATCCTAATGGGGGTATTAATTTTCAAAGCTTATTTCAGACCAGGGGGTGAGTCTTGCAGAGCTGAATAGGAATAACAGTATGTGCGGTCACAGCTCCCAGCGTTTAAATCAATGAGAGGGGGTGGGAGGCAGGAACACAGGAACCGTGATTCAAATGCTCCCCTATATATAGTCTTAACACATCTGTTGCGCAGTTTTTAGTATTATTTAATATGCATTGTTTTCATGTCTGTCTAGTGAGTACTGAGGTTTCAGTTTGCTGGAACCAGCCTACAGGTGGCAGACTGGTGAATTAGCTCCACTCCCTGGCTCCTCCCTGACATCCCTGCCCCCCACCAACCCTTCCAGCCTTTCCACTACTCCCAGGGGTATGCAAAGAGAACTGCCCTTTAATAATAAACCCCAAAGAGAAAACATTAATAGGGCACAGTAGAAAGACTATTTCTGCAAAAAATGCACACTCACATTTCAGTTTAAAGAGTTAAGTAGGTAAAACAGTTAATTCAGTTTCAAATGTTGTTCTCTACAACTGCTATAAGAGAGTAGTTCTGGCTTCCCAAGATTCAGAGTAATTCCACAAATTTCTGTGTGTACACATTTCTCTAGGCTCTGGTGAACAGCAACAAACCAACAATAAACTGTTTACATTTTAGAGATTTTTAAGGTAACTTCTGCCCAGGATCCATTTCCTACCTTCCCATCCTTCCATCGGTTTTCTTCTGGGCTTGTTTTCATTCTTCAAACTTAATGTGCCCCAAGCAGCTTTAAAATTCTTTGAATACAGTACATACTATCTTTCACATATTGTTTCTGCCCTTTGCAGAAAGGGTAATTGATTCCATTTATGTTGTGCAGGTTTGCCTGGTGGTGTGGTTGTGAATAGGTAGCATGGGCCCCTTGCCATATTCAGACAGTCCTCCATATTTGCAGCTTCTGCATCCACAAATTCAATCAAGTACAGATTGAAAATACTAAAAAAAAAAAAAAAATCCCTGCATCTGTGCTGAATATGTATAGACTTTTTTTCCTTGTCATTATTCCTTAAACAATGTTGTATAGCAGCTATTTAGATAGAATTTACATTGTGGTAGGCATTACAAGACATCTAGAGATGACTTAAAATATATGAGAGGATGTATGGAGATTGTATGCAAATATTACACAGTACTACATAAGGAAATTTGAACATCCCTAGTCTTTTTTTTTGGAGGGGGGGTCTTTGAATCCATCCCCCATGGATTCTGAGGGACAATTATATATGCTTGCCTTCAGACTGCAGATTGGTGACACTGCTTTCCAAGGATGTTCTTCATTTAAGAAAGGTGATTACGATTGCCAGCTTTTATGGAAATCTGTACAGTGGAGCGTAGGTCTGTACTCTGTTTTCTTTGCCTCCTCTGAGGTCTGTACTCCTTAGCAATCTCTGGTTTTCTAGGTCCTCTCTCTGGTTTGTACATGGTGAAGAACCATTGCAAAAATAACTCTTTGTTTAAGAAAAAAAATACCTAAGAAAAACAGTTTACACTTATTAAGCCCTTCACTGTGTTGTTAAGCAGGAAGATGAATTTTACATGGTGTCATAGCCCAGTAGCATTATGGCTTGGTGTACTGTGCCTCCTGGTTTTTAGGGCCCCAGGGCAGTTACCTTCCTTCCAATTTGAATGGGACCTCTGACTTGCCTTAGCCAATAGAATAAAGCACAATAGAGCCTGTCTCCCTTCCAGGAGGCCTCCTGAAGTCTTGAGTATTTCTGCTGAGTATACTGAGATGAAGACTGAAGGTCACTCAGCTAAGGAGTGGCTTTGAACTTACTTGCCCCAATTTTAGACACCACATCTCTAACCATTACACTAACTGCTTAGGCAGAAGGGGATGGCATAAAGCCTAGTAGTAAAGGAGTCAGGCTTGATCAGGGGCTTGCAACCTCTGTTTCTTAGGAAAAGCCCCCAAATCATGCCTGGAAAGATGAAGATTCAAAAGAAGCTTGAGAAAGCACTAGGGAAGGTGAGGAAATTTAGTGGTGGTTTTTTAATTTTTTTTAGGTGGGAAGAGATGGTTTTACAGAAAGGTTTATTTCAGCTCACAGTTTGGGAGGTTTCAGTCCATGGTTGGTCAGCTCATTCCTTTTGGGCCTGTGATGAGGCAGCACATCATGGTGAGGAATGTGTAGTGGATCAGAACCATTCACCTCATGGCCAGGAAGCAAACAGATGAAGAGGAAGGGGTTTAGGTCCCAATATTCCTTTCTAAGGCACACCCCCAACGACCTAACTTCCTCCCACTTGGCTCCACCTCTTAAAGTTTTTACCACTTCCTAGTAGAGCCAAACTTAGGACCAAAGCTTTAACACGTGGGCATGTGGAGGACACTTAGGATTCAAACTATTTCAGGGGACCTTGACAGAGTTGGAGACAGGTGAAGTAGAGGAAGGCCATTCCTTTCACTCAAGGACAACCTTCAAATGTTTTCCTGTCCTGTACTTTGCTAGCTAACGATATAGGAGCTGGATCAGTTCCCTGGTGAATGAATGCCTCCTGCATTTTGGAGTTAATGATCATCAGTATTAATGGCTTAGAGGACCAACCGAGGTGGGTGAAGTTCTTGAGCAGTTATCCTTTAATAGATCAGCTTCATTATTTTCTTTGAAATTTTATTAATTCCCAAGACATCAGACAAGTACATTATGAATTATTCAAATTGCTAGTACATACATTGATAAAGACATAATCATTGGGTGCTAACCCTGTGTGTGTGAATGTATGCGTTTGAGTTGCCTTTAAAAGCAACTTCACCTGGTTTTTTTTTTTTCATACTGAAAAAGCAATATATCATTGTTGTAACAACTTAAAACAAACAAACAAACAAAAAAAAAACATGCTTTCTTCTATACCAATTCTCTATGCATGGTTAACCAAGATTACCAGTGTTGTTTAATATGTTGTCCTTCCACACTTTCTTTTACAATCACAAAATGTATTGGAATTTATATATATGGAATATTTCTTTTCTTTTCAAGATATAAAAATGGGATTAAACCACCCACATTACTTGGACTTCTTTTCAAATGTAATTTTTAAATGTAATGAAAATTCCTACCTCCTGTGCTGCAAAGGAAAAGAGCACTCTTGGGTCATGGTCCCATGGGTGGCAACAACTATATTCTTGTGGAAATGAATCCAGCAGTACCTAACAAAATTCCAAATTGGACTATGCTTTGACTAGTGTGTTGGTTAGCTGTCTGTCATGGTGACGAAATACCCATGAAACTCACCTTTTCAGGAGCAAAGGTTTATTTTGTCTCATGGTTTCAGAGGTTCCAGTCCATGGTCACTTGGCCCTGTTGCCTTTGGGTCTGGAGTGAGGCAGCACATCATGGTGCAGAGCCTGTGCACTGAAGGAAGTCGACTTAATTTTTGGTGTCTTTCTGTATAAAAAAATATTTTTTACCTAGTTAAATCTAGTTTTTACTTTAATTGTTTCTGGATTGTTTTCTTAGTTGATAGAGTTATCTCTACAAAAGTCACACAAATATTCTAAATTTCCTTTTAATGTTTAATTTAACTTTTTATTCATGTCTTCATTCATCTAGAATTGATTTTGTAGATAGTGTTTAGAAAGGGCTAACATTAATTTTGCTTTGAATTGAAGTTTCTACTTACATATGGCTCTCTTTTTGGACTATATTCAGTTTTATTCTCCTAATTGTTTATCTATCTATCTATCTATCTACCTATCTATTTACCTATCTATTTATGTTGTGGTGCTGGTGTTGAACCCAGGTTCTTGTGCATGCTAGGCAAAAGCACTCCACCACCTAGCTATACCTTTAACCCATTTGTTTCAGAATCAATACTGCATT